CAATGCTCTACTTGGTATTCTGGCTGTGGCCTACCGTAAGTATACACGGAACCCTAAGACTGAGAATGCTCAAGGAAGTTACGCAGATGACAACTAAGGAGAATGAACTATGGAAACCATAAAGGTTCAAAGCCAGCAAGGCCAACAACAAGTGCTGTAGCAACGTAGAATGAGCCATGGCCACGATCGTACTCATCATCACCGTCATCGCAATCATAGCCTCATAGCCATTTGTCATCAATCACTATCATCATTGTCTCAGTCAGCAACATCATCAATGTCATGCTCATCCCAAACATCACGTTATCAGCGTGTCGTCGTCGTCATCATCACCACCACCACCAAGGCAGAAAAGTAACAACGACGTACCATCGCAACTTTGCAGCCATGAGTAAGCCTGTGGTCAGCAGAGTCAATGCTTGACACCAGCGGTGGATCCCAAGTTCTGAGAGTCTACGCGTGTTAGACTTCAAACTCTTACCCCGGATGTTTCTCCACACTTTCACGGCAAAAGCAAACCTCAACCAGCCTGGTCTCTGCGGTCGCTGATCTTGGCAGCCACGGGCTTGGCCTTCCATGTGTCGATCGCATCTTCGGCTGAGCTGGGCTATTCGAATAACTGGCAGTCCAAGGAGAGTACCGAAGCTAAAGTGATAATAATAATACTAACAATACTACGAATAGCAGTACTTCTATCCAACCCTATCCCTCTTTCAACCTCGACACGATGTCCGCCTGTGCGCCGGGCTTCGCTGCAATGCTGCAATGCTTTGTGCCCCAGCAGCTGCTCTCCACCCGCGAGCAAGTCTTGTACCGAGGTGGGCGTCACCACAACTGGTACTTTGGCATCCTCTATGATCCTTTGTCATCGTCGTGCTCCTTCCCGGAAGGCGGCAACAGCATAGCAGCATCACCATCAAATTCACCATGACCATGAACGTCTCGCCCTCATCGTCCTCCACCAATTCGACAACACCTTCACCTTCATTGGCATCATCATCAGCAGCAGCAGCTTCGGCAGCGTCTATCGAAAAGCATCACAAGTCAGGTCCGACTGGGAAGACTTCGCCAGATCTGCACAGATCCTGCAGAAATTGTCAAGATCGCTAGCGCCACCGGAAAGAATGGCAGTTTCAGAAAAGTGGGGACCCCGGGTACCCTAAGTAGTAGCATCTTCCTGGTAAGGACCCCCCTGAACAAGGTACTCCGAATGCTACGAAAGGCTCATACCGGTGCTCCGGTGCCAAGGCCTCTAAACCCTAAACCCTAAAACCCTAAACCCCAAAACTCTAAACCCTAAACCCTAAAACCCTGAACCCCAAAACCCTAAACCCTAAACCCTAAAACCCTAAACCCCAAAACCCTAAACCCTAAACCCTGGGAGGCCTCAAGCTGCTCGACGAGGAGTTTGTTCCGCTCCTGGGATGCTCTTGGCTCAGACTGGGGGGGGGCTATGTTGGCTGCTTTGCTTTGGGCTCGACACTTCTTCCAGAGGCCTTGCCTGTTCATCCGTATCTCGGATGTGAAGTTGATGTTTCCAGCTTCCAACGCCTTTAACTTCATAGAGGCTGCCCGCTTTCCGCTGGCTACGATAGTGAGTCTGTGCAGCTGCTGCAGCTGATTCTTTCCCGAGATCCGAATATGCGGCTTCACTGAAAGTGCGTATGTGCCTTTGCTAGTATATGAGGGTAGTTTGCTAAATTAGGGTCCCTTCTCGGGTCCTTACTACAAGGGTGCCGTACTAAATTGGGACCCTGTTTGTAGAGAACTGCCCATGAGGATGTAGCATCCTGGAGCACCTCATGAAGGCGAGTGCAGCTGAGGGCGCCACCCGCTCGAAGCCCAGGCTCAGAGCAAGGCCCTCCTGCGCAGCCTCCTGGTGCAGATGCTACTTCAGGGTTTATGGTTATAACGGTTTAGGGTTTAGGGTTTAGGGTTAGGGGTTAAGCAACGTTAAGCAAGAAGCCAAGTGGCTTGGAAGGCACAAGAGTCCGAAGGCTAGAGCGGCGAGAGTTGCTCAAGGCAAGCTCAGAGGTGAGTAGGTGCATGTAGGACGTGCAGATACATCGAGCAAGTACGGCGAAATCGCAGGAAGCTGCTGCAGGCACCGACGCACGAAAAGGTGGACTTGTCGAAAAACGCGGTATGATAGTTGACATAAGCAGACAAGCTGAAACTGCAACATAATACGGCGAAATTAGCAGAAAAGCTTTCATAAGGAAAGCTGCAACTCTTTGGCTTGCAACTTCACCTCCACAGGCGGCTCTTGGCTCTCCCTTCCAGGCGGGGAGGCCCTCGAGCTTTGAGAGAAAGTCCAGTCACAGTAGCATCTCCCTACAGGCTACTTTTACACCTGGGCTCCTTCAGGCTCTGAAAGACTGCCTCGCATCCACTGAAACCGATGAAGCCCCCTCCAACAACAGCACAACAGGTGCTTGTGGTGGGTGAAGAGAGATGTCAGCAGCGCTTGGCTGAACCATGGACCAACACAAGTGGAGTCCCCGAGCATCCCAACATGTGTAAACAGGGACACCATAAAGTAATTTGCATACTACAGGGCAAACCGGAACTTTGATCATTGAAGACTAACAAACCCTAAACCCCTGACCCTGAACCCCAAATCCGAAATCCTGCAGCCCCGAAGCCCCGAAAAGCCAAATCCGGGATCTCAGCCCCAAGGCCCTGGCGGCTGCGACCAAACGTCTCCGTACCTTTAACTTACGGAACTGACGGAGGGAAGCACAAGTTTCCCTAAACCCTAAACCTCTAAACTAAACCCTAAACCCTGATGAGGATTGATGAGGTCTCTCGGGTCGGGGTCGGCACTCTTGGAAGGGTTTCGGGTTTTCATCTTGTCAAGATGATACGGTGAAACACATTGGGAAAGCTAGCGTTAAAGATCGGATCTGGTCTCCAACCACTCCCCTGAACATCGCCGAGGTGTCGGCTTTCCGAGCCCTTTTTGCCCAGCCATGGTGGAAGTCTATCGGAGTAAGGTCAGCCACCTTGGAAGCTCGGTAGCATCTACAAACAAGTATCTCTCACCTGCCACACCCCTTATGAGGCTTGCTCTGGTGGTTCACGGCACAGGGGTTCAGCACGTGAGAAGGGCACTCGCGTGCCCAGATTCACCGGCACCTAGTATGCCAGGTGACTCCTAGTAGGCAAAAGTCCGGGCGCTTCAAACAAACTCGCCTTGCCACTTGGGTGTTCTGTCTTTAGACGCTTCTATACCGTCTATAGCTTGTGATCTACCCCACGCGTATTAGTTCATTGCATCTTCATATAAGCGCTTGGGCAGAGTGTCTAGGAGCAGGCTCAAAAATAGAATCTTGATAAATCTGGCGCTGGTAGCCAAGATGGCGATCTGCACCCACATGTGTGTGGGTGCGCACGTTTCACAATTACGCAAACCAGTCTAGAACAGGGCTTTGCACAGGTACAGGTCTAGGCCATGGATTGTAGAAGCGTCTTGCATCGCTAGTTCTGAGGCCTGCGGATAGTCAAGTAGCACTCTGAAAATCAGGGCCAGGCAGACTCATAAGGTTCGAGATGCCCAGAGAAGACTGCTGCTGCATCCACAGCAGACGAACTACGCAGCTGCCACCATTCATGCCGCCGGGATCCTGGAGGCCCTTCAGAAGCAACCGCAATGATGATGGTGATGATGTTAACGATGATGATGATAATGATGATGATGGTTATAATAATGGTTATTTAGACTGATGATGACAACGGTACCATACACTCGGGTCCAACCGAGAATGCTAAAGCAGCTTATTCCCAAAACTGCGTGCACTGCGCAGTTCTCAGATACTGATCCACCCAAAGAAGGATGTTCTACTTTGACAGTATGCTGAGAGATGTTGAGAGCGCAAACTATCGCAACTCGGACCTTCCTGATCCCGCTGAGGCATCGGTACAGCTTCGTTCACCCCATGCATGGCACAGGAGATACCACTGCTGATCTATACCTACGAATCCAAGAAAACCATGTGGCAGGCGGGCCTTTGCGAGACAGCAGTGTCTGCAAACTCAACGGAAGCGTGCCAACGGGTAACATAGATGCTTTCCGGCGGTGCTGGCAACTGTGGGCCGAACTGGCAGAACTTGTGTAGTTTACACCATCCACAAGAAACCAAGCTGTTCGGACGATACTGGAAGGCTGCTGCAGAATGTAACATCTGTGGTCATGCTTATGGATGGAAGCGAAGAACTGTCGATTGTCGTGAAACCTGCCACATGTTTTAAAACAAGCACAACAGCTTTGCCGTCTGCGCAAGCGAGCGTCTAAGCAAGATGTAGCACACCAGTCGGTCGACCAGGCACTGCGGCAGCCGTGCAAGGACTATCTAGATCCCTCGGCCATCGACGTATCCCACAATGCCGAAACCCTCATAGTCTCCCTGATAGTAAACCCTTTTGTGGGAGTCCGCTGCACTGCTTCTGGTTCCTACTCTTGGACACGGGCTTCTCTGTCTAGGCTGGAAGGCTCCGTGAAAATGGGCTGGCGAACCTTCCAGGAGCATTCTCGTGGAAGAGACTCGCAGATTCATCTTGTGCAGGAAGCAAAAAACTGCGAAATCGTTTCTCCCCGGATTGCGTTAACGGAGCTCGGACTAGCGTCTACCGGTTGGTCTCAAGACTGCCCCATTGCCTAAGTAACAGGGGAACAGAAGCAGTTCGAGGAGTTTTCTGCAAAACACAGTTCGCGCGCACATGCATCCTGGGTGAGGCTTGCTGGCTCCGAGATTCGACTGAGTGCACGGTAAAGTGTATATATATATATATATTGAAGAAGGCAGATGACTGCGGGGGTGGGTGCCATATATGTAAGTACATATATATATATATATATATATATATGTATATATATATATATATACATGCCGTCTATACATGGCTTGGGTTTGATGCAGTGCACAGGAACAAAAACACTCGAATTAGGTCAGGCCGGCCCGTGGAAAGCCAGTCGTGTAACTGGCAAATCCCATTGTAGTTCAGAAAGTCCGGCGCATTGCTGCGGAGTTCGTCCGCTTCCTGCCGATGAAGTTGTTGATCAAGGTGGGCGTTGCACCCCCCCTCTCTGTGCAGAGCATCGGCATGGACAATAATTAATCTATTATGTCTTTCAGGGCTCATGTTCTGAGGTCATCGATTCGATCACCAATTCTGACGGCACCCTGGCCAAGATGCTGCCGCTGGCTTTCTCTCCAATCTTCAAATTGGTGTGAAGCCTACGGAACCTCCCCAAGACAAGCATTCAATGCCTCCCGGCCGGCATGAAAGAGCCCGGCCTGCGACTTTTGCTCTGGATGGTGGGAAGCTCGCTTGGCTCCGGCATGTAGCCTGTCTCAGTGTCTCAAGAACAAGAAGCCTGCAAATCAGCTTCTCCACCGATACACTTTGAATTGGGAAAGGCACCGCGGTTCGTGGTCGTCAGGCTCGGGGCAGAGTCGCTCTTGCGAAGCCCCTGGGGCGTCCTGCGCAGATGCTCCGTTTCGGGGCGGGTGGTAGTGGACTCAAAGCAAACAAAGACTCTGAAGCTCGGCAAAGCTTTAGAAGGGTCCTGATCGGAATTGGGTTCAAGCTGGGCCAACCTTTTGCATTCAGCTCACGGATGGAGATCACGGGCAGAGCAAGCTGGACGTGCTTCCTGCCGAGAGCGCTACTCAGGGCTGTTCCAGGCCTTTCGTGCCCAAGAACGACAGCTAATATCTATCTATCTACCTATCTATCTAGCTATCTATACATACAAAACTTGCTTACAAAATGTGTGTATTCTGCAAATGTCTGGCTATCTAGCTAGATAGGTAGATGGAGGACTTAGATCCGGATATGGACTTTCAGAATAAGAGAGGGCAGACTAGATAGGTTGGATAGACTAGATAGGAGTAAGTAGACCACTTCGAGTAGATCCACTAGATAGACTTGGTAGACAGGTAGATAGCTAGATAGGTAGATAGAAAGGTTGGAAGATAGACAGGTGGACAAACAAACAGACATGTTAGAGGTGTCAAGATTTCATTGTACAAATACAACATCTATCATGGAAAGCTTTGGGGCTTTCTGACTGGGCTTAGTTTCGTGCTCCGCCAGTTCAGTCTTCGAGACCGTCAAGGGCCAGACTGGTCAACTCTTGTGACGTCTTCCCGTTATTGCTTTCAGAACCCGAGCAACTGACTCCCCCAATTGTAAGGCGAAAAGGGCTTTTTGCTTGAGCGGCAACTTCTGCAATCCTCAAATGTTCCGGATTCCCAACGGCTTTGTCAGTCTAAGCCGGCTCACCTGTAAGCGGCAACAAGTTCAAAGACCTCAATTCCAAAACCACACTGTGATTGATAAGCTCTAGACTCTAGACTCTAAGCTTAGGTTCTGAACTTGCTTGATCTTCAATCCAAACCTCCATCCTCTACATCAGAAGCCCGAAGACCTTGGACCTCGACCCCCAAGCGCAAACCCCACAACTTCAACCCAAAACCTTTATGAATCTAAGGCGGGGGCCTTAATAACTAGAATAGGGCTTTGGGGTGTGCGATACATATTTATCATAAGGAACCAAAAACTAGCATAGGTAATTAAGTAATTTAAGGCCCCTATATTAGGGCCGAATCTTAAGATTCATCTTCGCCGCCACCTGCCCCTTCGGTCAGCTGCGGCAGAACGGCATCGCGTCGGAGGTGTCGGTGCTGGCGCGAAGCTCGAGGTCTAGGGGTTTGTAAGCTTCAAGCACCTCCCAGATCTGCAACAATCGAAAAAAATCGTAACCCCTGTCCTGCACCCCTGAAGTGAAAGATCCAGCACTGTCAAGCCCTCAGAATAGCTTCGTGTGCACCCCTGCCGACGCAACATGTGCGCACACTGCCTGGCCTCGATAGTGATCCTGCAATAGTGAAGTTGACAGCTTTCGGACACAGCTTAGTCTGATCAGGTTATATTCAGGCTCTTCGGCGAAATACGAATGCAGATACGAGTGCTCTCTTTAGCGTGAGCGTGAAGCGCCGTGTCGTTTATCTCTCCTGCTACGCTACGAGCGAAAGGACTGCAGGTCCACCGGACCCCTAAAACATGTTATTTACACAAGTATTGTATTAGATTTATAGTCGGTATAGTGCTCTATTTTGCTATAGGCTATATTATATTCTGATAAGTTTTGTGTGACCTGGCGCATCAGCTCTGTGGATTCCAATTTCCCTAACTAGTGGCGCCCATGTTGGAGGTGCATATACGGCGCCTATCTATCTATGCACGTATGTATGTTAGGTATGTATGCGCATTTTTATATGCACATGTATACTCGTGCAGATGTTTCGTCTTCCTTGCTTCTATATGCCTGGTTGTGCTGCTGTGATGAGCTCGGCATGAAACTCAAGGATCGCGCACTCTCCTTCGGGTCGGAGTCCGGGAACCCGAGAGCACCACGCATGGCATAGAGCTCCTTGTCCACCACCTTGTTCTGCGCTGTCTCTCTAATGGAACATGGTCCAAAAGAGTTTCAGTATTCGCTTTCTGTAGACATGACTGTGATATATACATATATACATGCATGCATGCATGCATGCATGCAGACAGACATACATACATTACATACAGCAAAAGCTTTTTCTATAATCGCAAACAAATGTTGGGCACTCTGGGCTGCTTCTCGCATGCACACAAGCATGCGTCGCAATGTTTTTTTACATAATCCATGCGTGCCGTGCTGAACCAAATGCGTCGCAGCCGTGGGCGTTCTCGCAGTCTCCCCGTCCTGTTGCCTGCAGAAAAACAAACCTTGTTGTTGCTAGCTCTTGACTTTTCGCCAGTACCTTCACGTGCATCGTATGGCCAGGACCGGCATAAATGTCTAGTATCATAACTGCCTGTGCGTGCTTGAATGTGTACACATACATACAAACATACACACATACATACATACATACATACATACATACATACATACGTATACATATACATACACATATACATATATACATATATTCTTAGCACTCACTCTCGACAAAGCAGGCGAGGCTTCAGTCCTGTGTATAATATATATATATATATATGTGTGTGTGTGTGTGTTTTGTGCGTGTATGTGCATGTGTATACGTTTGCGTATGTGTATGCTTATGTGTAAATGTATGCCTATGTATGTATGTATGTATGTATGTATGTATGTATATGTATATGTATATGTATATGTATATGTATATGTATATGTATATGCATATGTATATGTATATGTATATGTATGTATGTGTGCACGTATGCATGCATGTATGTATGTATGTGTCCATGCATACATACATATGCGTGTGCGTCTCTGTACTGGTGTATATATATATATATATACACGTATATATATATATATATATACACTTATCACTGTAAGGTATATACGTAGATACACCTCTAGTTGCACGCCTGTCTTTCGTCTGCCGAAAGACCTCTCCGGAGCCGCAAGCAGTACTCTGAGCTTCTTCGCACAAACCCAGACTCTCTGAACTGCAAGTTTAGGGTTTTGGGGTTTTTTGGCTTAGAGTTTAGGGTTTGGGGTGTCGGGATTAGGGTTCAGTCATGCAAAGTGGCTTACATAATGAGGTATGTTGGGCAACATGAGAATCTGAAGAGTGATGCAATCAGTGCTTTTGCCATGCAAGCGTTTGCGGGCGAAAATTGTGTTGGGAAGTCCGCTTGAGCTTATGTTGGTTCAAAGCGTGCGACATCCCCGGGATGACCAGCAAATGCGCAAGTCCCAATCTGAGCTCAGGACTGTTAGTGCAGAAAGATAGGCTTGCACGTATATATGCTGTCGCGTGCCACCCCCGGTGAAGGAAACTCCCGTTGCTCACCCACACCACTGCCCCTCGTAAAAATAACACGACCACAGGTCGAGTCGAGACAGGGCGGGTGGGCGGGAGACGACTTGAAATGCAATGGCTGCCACGCCAAATGGGTCCATTTGCATACTGCATGTCACCTACCCTGCCAAACACAAACATGCATTGCATCAACCCTGAACTCCTTGAAACCCAGCTTTAGGCATTCCACTTGGGAGATTCAAAAAACAAGGGACAAAGGACCCCAACATACACCAGAACTAGTAGAATCCTCATTGTAACGAGCCCCGGAAACGAAACGGTACCCCAACCAAAGAAGAATAAATAATGTCTCGTGCAGTAGGGAGATCTCTGTCCCTGCGAAAATCAATACCAGTCATGCAACGAGCATGCGCAGAGTGGCTAATGACCGAGGACCCCGCACAAACACAGCGCGAAACCCTAAACCCCCAAACCCTAAACCCTGAACCCTAAACCCCAAACCCTTATTGCCCAGAACCCTGAACCCTATTCCCGTTTGCTACTCAGGAACGTTGGTCCAGAAGATCTGCTCAGCGAGCTCATGCTCCTCGGCTGCGGTGGCACTTCGATGCTTCTGATGTGCCTTATGTTCGATTCAAGGGTTTTGAAAGTTTAGCGTTCACAGGGTTTGAGGCTTTTAGGATTTAGACATTACGACTTGCAGGGTTTAGGATTTATGTATGATGCCGTATTCTCGTATGCAGTATCATACTATCTTCCGTTATGTTGTGTTCTGGTTTATTGCGATGTATCATGTCCTGCTGAGTGTTGTATTGCATGAAATCATTCGGAAGAAATACTATGTTCTATTAAGTTTTACCATATTCTGTTATATTATGTGACTAAGTACTACAGCACACTAGGTGGTCTCATGGTATAGTATACTGTACTATGCACAACGAAATTGTAGCAGATTGTGGCATGTTATGTGATATTGTAGTTACATTATCTACATTATGATGGTGTATGAAGCTGTATTTTACTATATTCGCTTCGGCCCCGACCGAAGCGGTCAGAGTTTCTCACAGGGATCCCCTGTTTCCCCTCCTCATCCCCTCCCCAACGATCCAGCCCCCTCTTGGCCACCCCAAGCCTGCCTGTGCTTCTCTGCTTCCAGCTCTCCCCCTACGCGAAGAATTCTGAATATACCTTCACCTATATATTATCTTCTATTAGGCCAAATTCTATTGCATTTTCGATCTTGTCATGTACTACATTGTGCCATACTATATTCTGCTGTAGTGTAGACTGATGTAGCATATGTTATTATATATCCAGAATAAACTAAAGCCTAAAGGATATTCCAGCATGATATGGAGTTGCCATTGTGTTTGTATTGTATAACCAGTTATTCTGGACCATGCTGCAAGTCTGCGGTGGCACAGTATTTCACAACATGTTGTGTGATGTTGTACTGAACTTGACTATATACTAGACTAGGCTATGCCATACTATGCCATATATACAATATTTAATGACTGCATTATACTACACAGTTCAATAGTATACTATACTGCACTATCCATTTTAGGATTGGGGTCTCGGGCGGCTACGCCCAACCGTCCGGATTGTCAAGCACTGTAACAGATACTCTTCGCGCTCTGTTGCTTTCTGCTGCCATGACGGCCCGCTACAAGGAGCTTGAATCCTGAAGGTCCCGAACATCCCTGAAACGCCGAGACGCGATGGTCGACTCAAGTCGACAGGATCTGCAACATGATATGAAACCCGAAGCAATGTAAGTACAGCGGTGACTAGTTTGAAAGGAACAGGCAGGCATCATCCCTAATATTTCTCAACCATACAAAAACATAAGAACCGCGATCTTCAGAATAATAGAAAACGTCCTCCATGGCAGCACCTATCCGTAAGATTCCGTAAGCCCAGTGGCGAAGACTCCGGCTACACCTCGCGAGGGTCCCTTCAGGAAAGTCATCACTGTCGCGCTTTGCGTCCACCCTCGCAGCTCAGTCTTGAAGTTGCGTTGAAGGTTGTTCGGGCTGAGGTGTGGTAAGTAAACATGTGCCAAACTAAGAGGTCTCGGCCAGGACAAGATGCAGCAAATTTGTGATTGATGGTGCGACAGCAGGGCTAGTGCGGCATTGAGTAGTCGCACGTAGCTAGCAGTCGTTGACTCCAATGCTCTAGCACTCTAGTAGACTCTAGCATGCCTGAGAGTCTTGTGAGAATCTTGGACTCAGGGTTTTGGGGGCTCAGAGATTTCCGGACATGCAGGCAATGACTTGGGACATGGGGAGAAACACGTGGGGACGCACGTGACTGACACAAAACCGTATTGGCATTTGCAGCATACTCACCGCCGGAGTACTAACATTACAGCTCCATCCGCCAACTCACAAAGTCTATGAAATCTTGTGAAGGAGCATAACTTGAATCACAGGACTTAGACGTTTTTCACGATGTTATTCGACGCCTTCTATCTATCTATCTATCTATCTATCTATCCATCTATCTATCTATCGATCTATATAAAAACTATTTCTGGTAACTTGCCGCGAATCCGTCCACAAGTTGCCTCTGCAAGCGCGCTGCCAAGTTCCGGACTTCCCGGCCTGAGCCCTGGGATGGCTGCGCGAACAGGCTCCCGAAGTGGAGGCCGGCAAAAGGCGGCGGTTTAATTAGGGTTTAGGGTTTAGGGATTTAGGGCTTTATAGGGTTTAGGGTTTAGGGGTTGAGGCTTTGGGTTTGGGCTTCAGGTTTAGGCTTCGGGTTTGCAGGGCTTTGGGCACCCTGTGCGTGAGTTTAAGGACACCTCATGAGGCAGCCCTCGTCTCAAGAAACTGCCATACGTTGCCGTCTGCTCCAAGCACGAAAGTCTGCATAGATCCCAAAGTTCACAACCCGAAACAGACCATTCAACTCACAAAATGCCATACATGCCACAGCGCATCTTCATCAACCGATCATCACCCCATTGCTCCGGCTCCTGAACCCAACACTTGGCACCTCAAGCGGGAAGCGCACGTCATCGGCTCTTGAGCTCTCGGCAACCGCAACTGCAACTGGCCCCTGGGATTCAAGTCCCCGGCAAGATCCGTGTCAATTTTGGGAATGACATGAAATTGAAAACTGGCTCAATGTCGCCAGGGCAGTTGGGCAGGCAGATGAGGGCTCTGGAGTCTCCATAGCCCCACGCTACTGTACATAACATTAACCTCTTGTCGCAAGCTACAGTATGTGCTCGGATGCCTCATTCGGTTGCTTTAGCCATGGCTCTGCACAAACATCTGTCCCTGGGGCGAGAACAAGCAAGCGAAAGTTGAAACAGCCCTGATCGAACCCCTGTCATTCAAGCCCATCATAAGCCCTAACACTACTAATAGTCATAGCAACAAGCAGAATACTGATAATAATAACCATAATGGTAATAGGAACCACTAGTTATTTTAAACAAAACCTAATAGTAAGAATAACCATAATAGTAATAGGAATCACTAAAAATAAACAAAATCTAATAGTAAGAATAACCATAATGGTAATAGGAATCACTAGTTATTTTAAACAAAATCTAATAGTAAGAATAACCATAATAGTAATAGGAATCACTAAAAATAAACAAAATCTAATAGTAAGAAGAACCTAATAGTAAGAATAACCTAATAGAAAGAATAACCTAATAGTAAGAGTAACCCAGCACTCTGGAGGTCGGCCTCGATCGTTCGCGAGGCAGGGGCGAAGGTCAGTGGCTCGTCCCCTCAGGGCTCCAAGGACAGCGGCTGATATTCTAGGCTCTCCTTCGATCCCATGTGTCCGATCCATATGGGGGTTTCCGAAAATAGGGGACCCTAATATAGTACCCTAAATAGTAGGATCCTTATTATAAGGGCCCCAAAATAGGGTACCCCTAATTTTCGGAAAATCCCATATGTATGAAGTACGTACCATTGCCACAGACTTAGACTTCTCTGTCTGTCCTGCACGTGAGAGCCCTCTCAGCAGCTGGCATGAAGACGTGGCATCGACGGCGAACATTCGCCAGAGTGATCCGTGCTACAAGCTCCTTACAGTTTAGGTTGAGGCTTACTGTACAGTAAAAGTAACCTTCTAGCTTGATGTTCGGTTCTTCCGAAAATCCGCTGGAGGTTCCTTCATTACCACACTCCATGTTTCTCCCTAACCTCAAAGTTTGACTCAAAGCCCTGCAACTGTCCCACCTTCTCCGAATTGTAGCATGCAGCGTCGACAGGCACCGGATGCGCTGTGAGCCAAACAGCCTAAAGCAGCCACTCCCCTTAGAATGAGAAACCGAAGAGGGAGCGGCTTTAATGACGCACAAACACAGTTGTGCCAACTTCAGACTCGCAGCTACAGTACTTTCTGTTACCCTGCCAGCTGGAGGACTCTCTTTTGCACTGCTTGGCGGTGTCGTGGCATATTGGCCACTTTAAGCCCAGAGGCGAGGCGGTGAAGCCCGGTGGAGTGAGAACAGGCTGGACAGAAACAGGTAACATGGGGACCACACGAATTAGAATATGTAGGGTTTTGGGGCTTGGGGGGTAAACTAGAATATAGTTAAACTTAAAGGGGAGGCGATTACGAATTGTCCCTGGCAAAGATCTGATTTGGATCACTTCGCAGGGGCACAGCATGGTGCAGCTGTCCATCCAGGTTTCCCCAACTTTGTGAGGACACTCAAATACAAGGGAGCTGCCGAAACAAGCAGCCTGAGACACGACGAGCACAAGCCGGCGTGTTCTTTTGCAGATCTTAGGAGAAGCTCATTGCCCCAACCAGTTGCGAACTACGCACAGCTTTTCTTATCTTGAAGTCGGCCACTGCAAGCAACTTCTCGACCGCGGCAGGAACATCGATTACAATGTCTCTCAGCCGTAGGAGGGCATTAAAACAATTTCTGCAACCTAGAAGAGAAGCGCGACTATCGATTCCAGGGTTCAGAGGCTGAGCTGAACAGCAGACGCGACTTGCCCGGAAATCGTTGTTCAGCCCAAAAGCCCTTTCAAAGACAATAATCGCGACTTCACCCCTAACTCCGAACCCTTTACATCCCCAAAACCACGCAAGCCGAGACCATCTGAGACCCACAGCCAAGATGCCCCAAGCCAATGAATGGCTCCTCTACGGGTACTATATAAGGGTTTCCACTACGATTCTACTAGAATGCTTCAAGGTTCAGGGTTTAGGACAAATTTGCTTTTGTGAGGTCGCGCCTCTGTCACATCAGGAGGCAACCCGCAGCAACTTGGGAGGCTCGGCGACCTCCGGCAGGCCCCCACGGGCACTATAAGGGTACTTTCTAATTATCAGGGGTGGGTAAGTTTAAGGATGCTTTAAGGGTACTATAGTTGGGAAACCACAATGAGGGCAGGCTGCATTTGAGTAACTATGGCCGCCCGATGACGTGTTGTGTTTGCGACTTTTCTCCATCACATTCGAGGCATCGGAGTGCCACGGCACAAGGCATGTAAGCAAGAGGCGACGGGCCCCCAGTACCTCGTAGTTCGATACTCTTTCGTCTTCGTCGCGGGCCTTTGTGTAAACATGTGACAGTCATGAAGACTTAGCATGAGGACCATCAATAAATACTATCATCACCACCTTGATCATTCTGAACAGCCCGGCATGCCCAACCCCGTTCTCGCTATCTGCATCAACCTGCTCATAGCCGTCAGCACAATCCTCATCCGCGGCATCACCGCAGTAATTATCTGCATGAGCCTGGCCTGACCATCATCGACATCTTAATCGCATGGTCCGCACCTATCTCATTCTGGGCCTTACTGCTGTGTCCTGCTTGGCTCTTCCATTACGATTCTTGCCGCCTTTGCTTCGCCCCCTGTACTTCCTCTTTGTGCAACTACTGGTCGCAGTGTTCTTACGTCCCGGAAGTCGTTCGCTGAAACACCCCCCGGCATGTACTGCCGCGGGAGCCATGGTCACCGTCATCTGCCCAATATCAAGCCAATACTCACAAAAAAAGAAGGAGGAGTGCTTGTTGCGGAGTCTGGCAGAAGTCTTTGTATGCTATCTACTTCCGTTCCACTTAAAGCCCTGGCCTCCTCAACAACGGCTTTGGTGGCTTGCTGATCGGGCTCCTCTGCATCCTTCGAGGTAAGAGGCTTTCCGTAGTGTTGGGTGCAGGGTTTCGGTTGTTTCGGATTTAGGGTGAAGGGTTTGGGCGACCCTGGAACTCAGACCCAGGCAGATTCTGCCCTCAAGGTCTCCTAATGCACTCAGAACTCGGACAGGGCTTGGGGTTGATATGGAAGCTTCAATAGTTACAATAGGGTTTGGGGGTATACTATACTATAATGACAAGAAGGAGCCCCAAAAGAGTATAGGTAATTACTGTATTAAGGCCCCTATTTTAAACCCTTTTCCAAGGTATCGCACTCCACAACCGAGGCTCTGTGCCCTGGGTAGCAACCCCAAACCCAGACTGCATCCTGCAAACGCACGTTTAGTCAGGTTTAGGGTTTAGGTTTTAAGAACAACCTCTAAAAACCGAAGACACCCTGCTACATATTACTGGGTTGAGGGTTTCGGATTTTGGGTTCATAATATGATCCTAGAAAGCCAGGCAGCAACAAAAACGCATCGACGCCCCTACACCCTAAACCCTAAACCCAAACCCAACAAATCCCAGAGCTGCTCAGGCAGAGGCTTTCCTCTTTGGGTTTCGAAGCAAAGAAGCGAGCCCAGAGCTCAACTACACCCGGGGCTGATCTGGGTGTAGGGCGGAGGGTTGTTTAAGGGTTTAGGGTTCAGGGTTGTTTTTAGGGGCTTAAGGGTTCAAGCTGTTTTAAGGTCGTGGGTTGTTTAAAGTTTAGGGTTCAGGGTTTAGGGTTGATCGAGCTTTGTCAGCCAGAGATCAAGCAGACAAGGGAGCGTCTAGGATCCAGGCTCTAGAACCGAGGTCACCTCGCCCCAACCCTAAAGCCTACCCATAGGCCCCATAGTAGTTCCTTTTTGGGATTGCCTAATAGGATCCTAAATACAAACCACAAAAAGGAACTACTTTGGGGCCTGTGGGTATAGCCTAAGCCCTAATCCCTAAACCTTAAACCCTCAGCCGAAGGTGCGGCAAAGGCACCCAAAGCATCTGCCGCATGACGTCCAGCTTCCCGACGTCATCGGGCGGCACCTGCTCAATGTTCTGCTGGAGCTTCCTGGAGACAAAGAAGAACGCAGGTTTGGGTTTGGAGTTTAGGGGATTAGGGTTTGGGGTTTAGGGGATTAGGGGTTGGGGTTTAAAGGGGTTAAGGGTTTAGGGTTTAGGGGTTAGGGGTTTAGGGTTTAGGGTTTAGGGGTTAGGGGTTTAGGGTTTAGGGGCTTAGGGTTCAAGGGATTTGGGTTTGAGTTTCAGGTTTAGCGGGTCTAAGGGTTCGGGTTTGAGTTCTTTCGTTTCAGCTCTTAGGGGTTAGGGTTCGGCTTTTCAGCCGTTTAGGGTTTAGGGTTTAGGGGTTCGGGTTTTCGAGCTAAACCCTAACCCTATACCCTAACCCTAAACCCTAAACCCTCTAAACCCTAAAAGTTGGGTTGGGGTTCGGATTGTTGGGTGTGAGGGTTTTCGGGCTCGAGCTCTTCGGGGCCAGGTTCCGGCTTCTCGGTTTCAAGGTTAGGGTTTAGGGGTTTAGGGGTTTAGGGTTTAGGGTTTAGGGTTTAGGGTTTAGGGTTTAGGGTTTAGGGTTTAGGGTTTAGGGTGGAGGATCATGGGACTTAGTAAGTAAGGTTAGGTATGCTTCCTAGCTCTCCTGAGGGGCACTTGGAGGATCATGGGTTTAGGGTTTAGGGTTTAGGGTAAGTATGGTTATAAGTCCCCTAATTGAGGTTATAATTATAGTTACCTTAGTTATAACCCTACTTACTAAGTCCCATGATCCTTCAAGTATGGGTGCCGGAGCCTGCAACCCCGAACCTTACATCTCTAAACCGCGAAGAGGAGACCACTCAACCCAACAATCCCGAACGAAACCCTAAAGCCCCATACCCTAAACCCTGAACCGCCTAAACCTTATAAACCCTATACCCTTATCCTCTAATTCCAGTTCGTGGGCTCCCCATTGACCCCCTATGGCCTACGAACGTTCTACCTGTGCAGCTCGCACCTCGGAAACCTTGGGCAACATAGGAGTCGAGGTATTCCCCTAAACCCTAAACCCTCAACACTAAAACCCTAAAACCCTAAAACCCTAAACCCTAAACCCTAAGCATGAAACCTTGAACTTCAACCCCCAAAACCCCTCAACCCCACACACCGAACCCTGAGACCCTACTACTTTTCTGGGTCCTCGCGTGAGCCTGCGTCGCCTGAGCTTCCCAACTAGGGCTTCGTTTAGGGGGGTTCCGGGTTTTGGGACCCTAGTCCTAAACCGCGTATCAGGAGGTTTTGGCCTTGACGGATGCCTTGACCAAAGCTCTCCTGTTCTTGAAGGTGCATGTTTTTTCCAGGACCTGTATGGCGGTTCTAGTTAGGTACTCACCCGAGAGACCCGAACCCCATAAATGAATCTCAGACCGCTCTTGCAAACGCTTGACTTAGTGTGGGGATCTTCATAATTCGCACAACGCCGGACAAGCGCCCAGACTTGTGGCGAAACAGAGTGTCAATAATGCAGCCGAAGTACAAATCACACGCAGGGCCGAGAGATTCGCTACTTCCGAGTCTTGCAGTTGGTTGAAGTTTTGACATGCGTTGGCTTGGCAAAACTTCAAAATTTTGCCACACAGGTTTTTGGAGGACGTAGACTTGGGTCACCGTCTAAGTCATGACATTCACAAAAGTTGATGTTCAAACTGTACGTCTTCCCGCCGGGAAAGCAAAAGTTCAGGCATCTTATGCTTACTTGACAGAGAGACATCTGTTCAAGTGCAAAACGTGCAAGTGCGCGACACGCTGTTATTGCCGGCAGAAAGCTCTTGTTGATGATGCTGTCTCGGGGAAGGGATGCTATTTGCCTTCACGATAGAAGAACTCGTAGGTGCAGGACTATGCGGTGTTTTTCAATGAAGCTGCAATGGTAAGTCATCTAGAGGATTGTACAAAGTGTCGCAAAGAACGCACAATAGGATAGCGCTGCACTACACGGGCAAGCAAACCAATCCTGAAATTTTGAAGGACAGATGATCCCTCTGACCTAAAGAAACAAACAACACAGGAATAATGAAAGAATAACGTCACGCACGAAACAAGAACGGTATCAACCATACAGGGTGTATAGTTTTGCGGGTTTAGGATTGCTAGGGTTAAGATCGTCAAGATGCTTTCCGGTTATAGGATTATCGGGCTTTTCGGCCTCAAGTTACCCTCAGCCCTGAACCCCGTTTGGGTCAACTTGTAAATCCCAAACTCTACGGAAACCTGCTGACCTGGACCCTGAAGCCAACCGGTTTGGACAGGTGCAATTTTGAGGGAACCCCGGCCGTTTGATTGAGAGTTTGCGCTTGCAGTGCCTCTGTTTAGGGTTGAGGGTCTGGGATCCAGGGCCCATGCTTTGTGCAAGCTTGAGCTTAGTAGCAAGACCTCAAAGCCCGCCCTTCCTGTCAAGCTAAGCCCTCAATCCTAAATCCTAAACCGCAGCTAGGGCACATTCTTGAAGAGCTTCATGTTGTAGTCGAACTTGATATTCTCTGGATCCGAGTGATCGATGTCGAGGTACTTCACCTAAAAAGGCATGGTTTGGGGTCCAGGGCTTATGGCGCAAACCATGCGCCCTAAACCCCAACCTCTAAACCCGAACCTTCCCTAAACCCGAACCCCTGAACCTGAACCTCTGAACCCGAACCCCTGAACCTTCCACCCTAAACTTCCCCACAACTGCCCTAAACCCCGAACCCCTGAACCTTCAACCCTAAACTTCCCTACAAACTGCCCTAACCCCCGAACCCCTGAACCTTCAACCCCAAACTTCCTAACACTGCCCTAAACCCTAACCCCTAAACCCTAAAACCCCAAAACCCCTGAAACTTCAACCCCAAACTTCCTAACACTGCCCTAACCCCTAACCCCTAACCCCTAAAACCCCAAAACCCCTGAACCTTCAACCCCAAACTTCCTAACACTGCCTTAAACCCTAACCGCTAGCCCCTAAACCCTAAAACCCCTGAACCTTCAACCCTAAACTTCCCGAGCTCTGCCAAGCCTGCTTCAACCTGAACTCGAAAGCTGCCAATGCCAAAGCCACCCAGCACTCATAAAACAACAAGGGTTTAGGGTTTAGTGCCGTAAAACTATAAGTTACTTTGGAGGTTCATGGGACTTAGTAAGAAAGGGTAGAGTTAATGTAGCTGTACTTCTTTTTACTCATCACTGATCCCCCCCAAATATCCTCCAAGCAACCATACTAACCTCTCCAAACCCGCCAAAACTCATTTACAAAGGCTGGGTGGGTATTGGAGAATTATAAGTATGACTGCCCATGAACCCTAAAGCCCAAGAAGGGCTAAATCACAGAGGTCTCGGTGTCTGAGAATTTCCGGCCTGCTCCCAAATCTCCTTATCTGCGCCATCCGGATAAATGTCCTGGCAACTTCCCTAAACCCGAGACATGCCCCACCCTACCTGTAGCCCTCCAAAACCTAGCAAAAAAAAACAGAGCTAATACGTAAGCAAACATACTGTCAACTTACACTGTAGAGCCAAAGCAGAAAACGAGTCCTACTAGCACTAGCTACAGTATAACGTTTGAAACGCTGCATCTGACTGGCTTTGGGGCCATACGCAAAGTCTAGGAGAGGTCGGCTTGGGATCCTGGCTTCGAGATCGTTCACTGCTATTTCCAATGGTAAGATGCGGAAGCACATTCATACTCATGTATGCGAATAACAAAAAATGATAAAGCGCATCAATGAAACTACAAAAGACGACGGCGCCGACTACTGCTACTACTTTTTCCGACTGTAGTAGTAGCAGCTTTTAGTAATCGTCGTAGTAGTAGAAGTAGTAGTAGTAGTAGTAGTAACAGCAGTAGCAGTAGCAGTGGCAGTGGCAGTGGCAGTGGCAGTAGCAGTAGCAGTAGCAGTAGCAGTAGCAGTAGCAGTAGCAGTAGCAGTAGTACTAGTAGAAGAAGTAGAAGTAGTAGTACTAGTAGCAGTAGTAGCAGTA